TAGAAAATGAAGGCTAATCATGTTTTAGGTGTACTATTCCTTTAAACTGGCTTCTTATGAGAAAGTGACATACAGTCTTCTAGGTAAAATGCATCAGTATGATAGTACGTGGTCTGCCTTTCTCAACTGGCTAACGGTAAAGTAAACTTGAAAAGGTCGGTGTGGCATAACATATCTGTTGTATGTTTTACAAACCAAAAAACTCAATAAAATTTGCATGAGAAAAAAAAACAGCGCTTAGGCAGCATGTTGAGGTATCATCCACAAACAGTGAACTGACTGCAGCTTATCTCTGCCTTTAAAGCTGATATCTAGAGTGCATCCATTGCAGCTTTGTGATGCCTTCAAGTATAAACAGTTTGAAACAAGCATCTGTGATCGGATGCAGCTCAATATATAAACAGGTTTCTACAGAAGCCCGGTAATGAACCATTGATTGATTTATTAACGCCACCGAGCTTCTAAAGCAGCGTTCCATTCCATCTCTGTTCCAGTCCACTCAGGATTTTAATGGAAGCTGCTTGTTTCCTCCCTCTTCCTGTGACAGTAGCTTAGGTTATCCTTCATGCGACTACGTTTCCTCTCGGCAGCGGTCTTAGTAACGCATGTTGTACTCTGACTCGCTCCCGCTGCTGCTGCTGCTTTGCCCCCTCCGCCGGCGCCGGCCGTCAGTCGTGCGGCGGACGCTCTCTGAAGGGTTTAGGATCTCCGCCCCGGTCTCGATGCCCAGGACCTGCCTCTGCACCAGCTTGCAGTAGAGGCCGCCGCCGGCCATCAGCTGAGCGTGGGAGCCCTGCTCCGCCACGTGGCCCCGGTCGATCACGATGATGTTGTCTGCCTTTTCCACTGTGCTGAGGCGGTGGGCGATCACCAGCACCGTGTGCTCCTGCATGATGTTGTTCAAAGCCTGCTGGACCTGCAGCCCCAGTTATTCACACACGCATTCAGAATCACACTATTCAAAGCAGCATCGTTTTGCATCTAGAGGAGCTTCACCTACAATGTGTTCGCTCTCAGCATCCAGAGCACTGGTAGCCTCGTCCAGGATGAGGACCCGGGGTTGGCGGATGAGAGCTCTTGCTATAGCCACCCTCTGTTTTTGTCCCCCAGACAACTGCATGCCTTTCTCCCCGACACCTGGAGAAACAGAGGGAAGCATGAAGGGTTCTGCTACAGTTCCACAGGAAACGGGTGGATTCGCTCTGATTTACTCGTCTCGTAGCCTCTGGGGAGGCTGCTGATGAAGTCATGAGCGTTAGCCTTGGTGGCGGCCTGCACCACGGCCTCCATGGAGACGTCACTCAGTCCGTAGGTGATGTTCTCCCTGACGGTTCGGGCAAACAGGACGGGTTCTTGGCCCACCAGGGCAATCTGCAGACACACAGGAGCAAACAGGAAACAGAAACTATCAAGTCAGCTGTTGTTGTTTTTCATTTGTGCCTCTAAAACGAATAAAACTATAATTTGTTTCCTGCTTTTGCTCATTAATGAACTTCAGCTCAAAATGGACAACATGGTTTATACAAGAATAAGTAAATCTAATTTAATGCTTTTTAATGCTCTTAGAAATCATTTTACCAAATACATACACATGTATATGTATATGTATATATATATATATATATACATA